AAAGTCCTGAGCCATTTTTTTTTATAACGCTTAATAAAAAAGTTATTATTGAGTAAAGTCTGGCCAATCAGCGCCGACCTTTAGCCGGGCGCACGTCGGTGAGCCGCGCGCCTGCTAGTATGCGGCGGCACACACTTCACGGTGCGCGGCTCACCGACGTGCGCCCGGCTAAAGGTCGGCGCTGATTGGCCAGACTTTACTCAATAATAACTTTTTTATTAAGCGTTATAAAAAAAAATGGCTCAGGACTTTTCGTCTCAGTTTTTGGTAAGGAATAACGCTATGTATTTAGTGGGCGATCATTACGAGTCACCCTGTATATCAAGATATACAAATAAAGATATGAATATATTACGAGAACAATTATATTATCATAGCATTTTTAATAACAATATGTTCAACTTTTTTAGCAGTGCGGTGAAAATACGGTAACCGCGCGGAGGTATCAAATATGCGTAAATATATATCGCTATGTAGAAGCGGCGAAAAGAAACCATTCGAAAAATCTCATTCATAGAAATCGCAAAGTAATGAAAGCTTAAATATCTATATCAATAAATAAAAATTTTATTGTTTTGTTTAAATATCTATGTTTAAATATCAGTATTTAAACGTATATGTAAAAAAGATATAAATAATTGAAAATAAAACTAATACTTTTATTGCAAAGATAGTAAAAAGGGGGAAAATAATTTTTAATACAGATATATGTTATACATTACGTAGAAGAAAAAATGTATTTTATTGTACGTAACATTTAACGAAGATAACAAAAATATTATACAAAATATAAGTTATTTTATACGTACAAGAATTATCTTAAAAAAATTATTTTGTTTTCTAGAATCGTTTTATCGAGATTTACTTTAATAATACATTTCTATGCGGGACGTATTAGTGAATTTACAATTATGGACGTAGCACGGACTCACACCAAACGGTGGTTTACCATGCCATCGAAAGTCGACGTGGCTATGTAGTTCCAAGCGGCTGTAAAATGGACGTAGAGGCGCTGCTGTACGGGACCAAAAAGCTATCGTACGGAAAACGCCGGGATGGCCGCTCTCATGCTTCTCTCTGATAATAATCACTTTTTCGTGACATCGACGTCGATTAATAGTAATCACTTCTCTATTTATTTATGATTTGGGGTCTATTTTTCATAGCTGAATTGGTTGCATTAGTTCAAAATTCATCTTTTTCTCTTCACATTGGAAGGAGAAAGATAAGCTCTAGGGGCCTATTACGGTTCTTGAAACGAGGTAAAAATTACAAAAGTGAATAGATTTACTAGATTTTGACAAATGAAATTGTAGATACTCTAGTGAATTTCCTCACTTTTGTAATTTTCACTTCGTTTCAAAAACCGTAATAGGCCCCCTAGAAATTGATTGTGTATCTTAAAACGATGTGAAAATTAAATCGTCTCTGCCAATAAAAGGCTTGAATTCATAGTAAAATCTAGTGATTAATTGAACCGGGTGGGGTTAACCCGTTCATCCGAAAACGCTATATGAATGCCGGCCATAATCGACTCTCTGAACTAGTGCAGCCAATTTAGCTATAAAAAACAGACCTTTGTATTGCACTCTGCTTACACTTTCGTCGCTGTTTGTACATAGGCATTAATTTAGCGTTCGATTGATAGAAACGAGAAACCAGGAACGAGCAGTACACGCATTGCGCTTTGATATAATATGGTTGCGGTTAGTACCGGTTGCAATTTGTATCTGAATATCATAAAATGAGGTCATCGCGATGCGTCGACTGACGAAACATAAAATCGACAGACAATAGGTTATTATCAGAGTATATCGCGGTGAGTATTAATAACTTGCAGATAATTTAATATTTCTGACAAGTATGCGGCAATACGATACTTTGTCATCTGTCAATGTACACACACACACACACACACACACACACACACACACACACACACACACACACACACACATACATACATACCTTGTTCTCCAATTCAATACTGTTGCTAATAAACACGGTTTTGATCTAATGATTTTTTTAGGATGACGGAACGTTAAATACTGTTTGTGATTCTCAACAATTTTATTTATTTATATATATAAATAAATAGTTATAGTAATTAACAATCGTATAATATAATTATTAATCTCGTTATTTGAAAAATATTCCACTTACATTTTCATGTTACATATTTCACAGATCCTAATCTAGTTTTTGAAGTACACATGTGCGAACGATATTAATATAGTGCTTACAACACAATTCTTTTTTTTAATTGCTTTGGCCTATATTAATATAGAGGAAACATATTTAAAGTAGATTTTATATACAAGTTACAGTTGTCTTATAAATTACAGTTTCTTCGTCCATTATTACAATATAAACATTTTGTATATAACAACTTTATATTTTTTTTTATCTTTATAACAACTTTCTATATAACTTAAAAGTAGAAATGTGTTAATTTGAAGATAGTTTTAACTTACTAAGTAATTAACTAAGTGTGTATTTTCTGTGTGTATGTGTGCGCTATCAATCTATGTATATGTGTTGCATTATTGGGTTCAAAATTAGAAAGTGTGAAAGCAGTCAGTTACTTTTCATGGAAGATGCGTTTAAATTGTAGAGAAATTAATATGAAACTGTACAGAAACAAAATTTTGATATAAATTGTTGCAAATATATAGTATGCAGAACAATAAAAGATTTTTTTTTTCAGAAATAATTGGACTATTTTATTTGAAAATATACTATTATAATGCTTTTCATAATACTTTCTTATTGATCTTACTTTGGTAAATTTGACAAAGGTATTTATATTAATCTGAAAATGTCCCCTATTTTTTGAAAGAAAAATGAAATAAATTTTTTTGCATAGTATCCCAGTAAGCAATTTGATAACAAATTGTTGCCAAATTGGTCTAAAATTCGCTCAAAACTTGGTAACAAATCCAGTGCCATCTGTGTCCGCATTAAGCTTGTGTTTTGGTGACAAAGTTTGCTGACATAACCTGACAGCAAATTGACGGCAAAAACCGAGCAAAGCAAAATAACTTTTTAATTAGAAAAAAACTTTGCGTTGCAAAAATTCAAAATGTAAATAATATGTTAATTAGCATATGTTCAGTTTAGCAACGCCAAATTTTTCTCTAATTAAAAAGTTATTTTGTACTGAAATTTGTTTTCTTAATAAAAAATTTCTTTCACTTAAATATGTTCTACTATTTTAATCACATTGCAATTTGATACAATTTTTAATATTAGAAATAATAATAAATAAATTTTGTAACATAATTTTATATTACCGGATTCGTGTTCAGCGTCCAAAAAACTATAAGAAACGACTAGTCTCGTTCCGGTGTTTTTTTTTGTTGAACTATGTTATCAGTACCAATCAAAGTCGTGATAACTGAAGCAGTATTTTCATTTTGTATGTTATTATTTGAGTTATCATTTGCATTAAAATAATCGCCACTATTAATTTTAATATTGTTATTTAATGTACAATTACTATTTGTCGTTTTCGCAGCATTAACGTTATCATCAATACCATAATAGTTATGTTTGTTTTAGTTCCAGCTTTGCAATGTTCTTAAAGGAGAATCTAAACAATTAAAATTATATAAGGCAATATACTTTTAATTTTTTAAAATAGTTAAAATAAGTATGAGTTATATGATATATAGAGAGAGATTAATACTTACCATAACGGAATCTTTATTTGTCCACAATTTATATTTTTTTCTTGGAACTGGCAAATTTTTATGAATGTTTTCTGACATATTTAGAATAATAGTAATGTGTGTTTTCTCTGTAAAGAAAAAATATGTTTTATATTAATTAATATTTTAACAATGTTTTATATGCGTATAAATACATGATAAATATGAAATAATTAATGTAAATATTTGTAAAATTTAAAAACATCTACAAAACTTGGTATTAAAAATGATTGGTTCAAAGAATTCTCGTATAGAAGAAGTTGTTAGTGGAAGTTGTCAGTAGACGAAGTTATAAAGAAATTTTATCATCAGTTATAAAGAAAATCATCTTTTTTTTTCAAGTAAAACCATATATTATCTATTATTTCATTATTTTTCCTATGATTTTAAACAATTTTTTATAATCTTCCATATAATTACATCATTTTATATTAATTCTATGTTTATATAAACTTTTTTGATTAAAATAATATGTACAATCATGTCCTAAAATATTGACATAATAATCACCCCACCCGTAATGTGCAGGTAGAGCAGGTAAAACCGAGTAGGAAAGATTTTTTTTTCGGTTTCACCTACTCTGCCTGCACACGAGAGATGATTACGGACGGTTATTATGGCACACCCTGTATATGACGATGATGATGATGATGATGATATCTTTATATTTTCTTCAATTATTTAAGAAAATAAATTACGATTTTTAATAATAAAAATGATTATACCAATTTTAAAAACAAAAACAGATTTAATATAGTGTAGGTAATTTGTTATCACTATTATGGAAAAATCGAATTCGACAATCATAAATATATATTCTGAAATTACGTTTATGTTATCTGAAATGCATATCAGCATGGGAGATTTAAATTGCTTGTCTGCAATTAGAACACACAATGAGATCATTGTTTCTCTTAAGGATGTTCTGGATGGTTTGTCAAAATACTACAAAGTTGATGAAAATTTAATGTCATATTTTGCACTCTCTTTCAAAGTTCGGGGCCAAATTTCAGATCGATTCACAATTTAGATAAAAAGTTATCAATTTGTGAATATCCGAGTTTTAACACGTATATACTTATGGCGTTATAGAGCAAAGTGTTAAAAAAAAATGCTACCAATATAATGATATTTTACACACAAGTAGATTATCAACAAACAAAAATATGGCAACAAGATTTTAACGATTTACAACATAGTTTTAAAGAAATTGCAAAAAATCAGTGAAATTATTGCTCGTAATTACTTTATTTTATAATTTTTCACAAATTTCACTTTGTTAAGTTGAATTCAAGGCAAATTCACTCCTAAAATTTTTATTAATTTTTTTTACGTTTTTTACATTCTATTAGACTTGCCGTAATTATTTATATACATTTTTTTTCTTAGGATCTCTGGAGGATTAATACCGGTGTTTTTAATATTTCCATAACTTTTGACTGGACCGGTACCTCCAGAACATCCTTAATTAATTAATTCCAATTGATCAAATGCAATGTCGATCTTCAATGCGCAATGTAATACAGGCTCAAGTGTGTGTATGTGTGTGTTGCATAACAAAAGTATATTTAGCTATGTCGATTTCGTTATTTAAGCAAACAAAAGTTTTATTTTGTGCTTTAAAACTAAAATTTTGTGTTCTAATAAAAATCTGTACAATAATTAAATGTCAAGAAGACAACTCTTCTCTTCTGAATGATGGAAAATGAAGATGTTATTTAAAAAAATTTAAATAACTATTCTTTAGAGAAATGGTTCTGCGATTCGCCTATATAGTACTTAATACGCGTTTTAAAATATCGGTGTAAACTAAGCCATTGCTTTTTATATTAATATTTATTTGAAGTATTTGCAAAGTGTATATTAATTTTTTTGTTACAATGATATTATATTTTAATAGATTTTTTATTTAAAAAGGCTGCTAAAAAAGGAAGAAGCAATCAATGAAAGAAGTGAAAACAGCAATAGTCAAAGACTCATTGAAATAAACAAAGCCGCGAAACTTGCAGAATAACAAAAACAACTATTGACATAATATACAAGGTATCCCACCAAAAGTGACCATTCCCTTTTATCTTTTAAACAAAAAGAGATAGACCATAACAAATATATATATCAAATTAAATGGTTGTATTCGTTTTAAACAGCACTACAATTTTTTTCATGTCGAAAAATTCATATTATTATAAAAAAAATTATGCATACCTCTCCGTTCTTTAACACAGATAGTTTTTGAAAGCAACCACTATGCTCACAATAGAGTTCAGTTTGAACCATTTAATTTGATATATATTTGTTACGGTCTATCTCTTTTAGTTTAAAAGATAAAAGGGGGTGGCCACTTTTAGTGGGATACTCTGTATATACATTCCCTATTTTTTTTTATGAACTAACATGTACACTATTTTTATAGATTTTTTATAGACAACAAATGAAAACAGAATAAAATCTGAGAAAACGTATATTTCTGTTCTTCATAACGAAATGACAAAAACTGAAAATGACAAAGTAACAAATTATAATTACTTTTTTCACTAATTTGTTCATTATTTTGTTCGACATGTTTTTCTATCTCTTCTCTCTGCTTTTTTTCTCCTGGAAAAATTAATATATCGAGTTAGTAAAATAATATAAAAAAGATTTTGGTTAACAGGTATGTTTAATAACATGTAGAACGTACTTCTCATAATTTTAATAAAATGTAAGTCGGAGACTTTAAAATTGTTGCGAATGCCTTTCCAGGAGCAATTCATCGCGCATTTGTTTGTAAATATTTTGGATAGAATGCGATGAACATTATCTTGGGGATTATTCCCTCCAATCTTTAACAGAAACTCTCTCTATAAAAAGAAATAAACAATTAGAAAACTTTCCATTTTATTATGCACTGTATTTCACTGACATACACTGAAAAAAAATGTTGAGTAAAACAAATTAAACCTCTGGGCTGAAAAAAATTTGTTGTAACGATTGCAATCGAATCAAATTAAATAAAAAATCAGTTTGTTCAACAATCTGATGTATTAATTTCAACTCTAAAATTTAAACATAAATACCCTGCCGAAAATGGTCGATTAAAACCGATTAAAACATAATCCGTTTGAATCGACCATTTTTGGCAGGGTAGTTAAACATAAATGGTTAAATGGAATAGAAATGTTGTTATGTAGACACTATAAACTATTGTTCTAAATAATGTTCTACTAAATACTGTTACTAAATACTGTTCTTCTAACTACGGAAAAAGTTGATCTAACTGCATAAATATGAGTAATTTTCATTTGGTCATTGTTACTTTGCGAAATAGTCAAATCAACATTATGATTACTTATTTTTGCAGCATTTTGAGTTTGTTTGAGACAAAAAGAAATTACGAGAACATTAAAATTATGCTAAAAGAATTAAAGCAATTAGTTTGCCATATACAACCCTAAAATGTAGTTTGCTTAACACGACTCGAGTTGTCTCGATAGATTTTTTTTTACAGTGTAATAAAGCACAGCAAGGTACCAAAATAATCATTTGCGATTTTATATTACAGTATTGTATGTAATTATATCTACATAATTATATGCCTGTAGCTATATGCCTGACTTTCCCATATGACATCTGTATACATACTGGTACTATATTTCGGTATGATAAAGATACAATATTTATATAAAATTGGTGTTATATCTTTATTTCCATTATCACGTTGTATTAAATATTAATATCTCTCAAAATAAATCTTATTTACATATGCATTTATATGCAATAAATACATCAGCTTAATTCTGACGTTAAAATATACAATTCATGATAATGGTAATAAAGATAAAATACCGATTAATATCAATATTTTATCTATTCCGTGTATCACATATTCCTAAATATTAGCGCCGATATTATACCAATGTTATATGGAAAAATCTTGCACATGTGGTATCATGAAATGGTTATGTGCAATACTGAAATAAAGCTATTGAAATAATTTAGGATTTAGTACCTGCGTGTAACAAAAATTTACTATACGATTGAAAAATTAATGTAACAACTTATAAATTGCGTAACTGCTTCATCAGTGTCGTGCGATAAAGAATCGAAGTCTCGTATGTTTTCAATCGTGTGTAACGATAAAATTCCTGCGATAAGATAATTTCTATCGCTACTCATCTTTATTAAAACAGGAGCGCGACTTCTCATAACAGCTACTCCACATCTTCGATTCGGCTTATCCGTTGTTTAATGTTTTGTAACATTAAATTAGATGTTGCTTGCATACATATTTGTCCTCACGTACGTATTACCCCTATTAACTTAGCACCTCCACCACGAAAAATCGGGTTCGGCTATGATATATAATTAAGTGCTAATATGTTGCTAATTTATTGCTCTAAGCGCGAATTTATTGCTCTTACCCATTAGCAGGAAAATGATATTAAAGATGGAGATACTGACTTGCCATTAAACTAGCACTTTCACCTCTGAAAAACATTTATAGTAAGTCACAAATCAGAAAGCAAATACACTAGAATTTATTGCTAATTAATTGCTCAAAGAAATTGCAAACAGGTTTTAAAAATATTAAATTTTTAATTATGCACTAATATGACATACTATGAACATAAAAAGTAAAATCATCAAAAATAAGTAGCTAACAATATCAATTTGCTATAATATTCTGCATTAAATGTTTTCAAAATAAACCATTTCCGAATTTATATCTTGCAGTTTAACTACAAAAATCGACCGAACGAGTGGCGGTGGTAGCGTACCTACAAGAGTAAAATACATGAACGCAATTAATTGCTGTTATAGTTTTTGTACGCCTTCATTATATTACATATATCATTGAATGTTAAGTTGTCTAGATACGGTGGAATAGCAGAAACAACTTTATTTGTACTGATTGCTTTCTCTGAAAAAAATATTATTTTTTGAACATTTTGCCTATAGCATTTAAAAAACCAAAAATATTATTTTACTTTTATGTGTATCTTGCAAAAGCTTCTGTACAAAAATGAGACAATTGTTAATCTGTAGGAATTGTTAATGTTTAGTAATATCTTAAAAGATTTGTAGCTATTAATAAATACATATCAAACATTTTAACTCTATATACAAATATGTACAGTTTCAGTAAAATGAAGGATGCAAAGATATTTAAATTAGATTTTAAATAAAATAAGTAAAACAAGAAAATAATTATTGTATTGCATAATTATTGTATACAAGGTGTCTGACTGTTTCTGCACGTTCTGCTCGTGTGCAGGTGGATTAAGTCAAACTAAACGAACATCTTCTACCATTTTGTTAGTAATCATGTACGATTTTGAATTATTGATTAAATAAAAAATATTATTAGTGAATGATCGCGCACGATTACTTACCAATCTTTCTTATTTAATAATTTAAAATTTTACGTGGTTATTTGCATGGTAGAAGACTTTTATGTTTAGTTTGACTTAATTTACAATCTGCATATAAGCAGACTTGCGGGAACAGTCAGACACCCTGTATATTAAGTATAACGAAACATACTCTTGTAATACATACTCTTAGTCGTACACGATCGAGATACGCAGTTATCACTTTCCTCTTCTCTCCTGTTGCATCGATTATACAGGGTGTAACAGAGCGCCCGTATCACCCATTTAAAAACTAGGGAAGTGATCGGATGAAAAAATGTTTCAGACAAAAGTTGCATGGTTTGAAGGGGGCCACATGATGAAAATATGGACTTAACCTTAAGTGACCTTTTTAAGGCCAGGTCAATGTGATCGATGTTTTCTTAAATGGAACCCCCTATTTTTTATTGCATATTCTTGTAGCCCTTGTCCAGACGTTTTCAAAACACTATAATAAAGTATTTTTTCATTAAGTATTTTTTGAGTTATTTTATATCTTAATCTGACATATTTTGATATAAAAAATAAAATATCTCGTAAAATATTTAGTTTTCGATAATCTTACCGTAACACTTTTATGTACAGAATAATTTTGTGAGGTTTTTTTTAGGTGATTAAGTATTTTTTGAGTTATTTTATATCTTAATCTGACATATTTTGATATAAAAAATAAAATATCTCGTAAAATATTTAGTTCTCGATAATCTTACCATACTTTTATGTACAGAATAATGGGACGAATTAATTGGTGTAAAAAAAAAACAAATAATTGTAAAAAAAAATACATTGTAAATAAGTACATACTTTTTTTTTAAATATTTATTTTGTTTATACTAATTGTCCGTATTACAGTAAGATTATCGAGAACCAAATATTTTACGAGATATTTTATTTTTTATATCAAAATATGTCAGATTATGATATAAAATAACTCAAAAAATACTTAATCACCTAAAAAAAACCTCACAAAGGTAGAAAGAAATACGTCAAGTATATAAAAAAATCCCAAAATTGTACGCAAACAAAGTTTAATATTTATTCCTAAAAAATAACTTTTATATAAATAAAAGTTTTACTTTTATATAAATAAAAATATATAAATAAAAGTTTTTCTTCAATATTTTATATCAATAAAATATAAAATATTGAAGAAAAACTTTTAATTTTGAGAATTTTCGCGGTGCATTTAGAAAAGTATTGATCTGTTTGTGAAGAAAAGAACAGAATTATAATATTTAATTTAGTTTACATATCTGGTTTCATATGTGCTACTCAATGTTTTATATGTGCTAATTAATTGTACTTACTATCTATTACTACCAAATCTCTGTAACCTAATATGTTACACTGTTTAGCAAAGTTCTTCAGCTGGGATTGCATAAGGTATAAGACCGTATGCAATTCCAGCTGAAGAAATGTCAGCTATAAAAGTATACCGGTCTTCTCGAATCTCGAAAGGATTGATTTCGCTTTATCCTGCAAATAAGCGCTATAATTTAGATAATATTCAGATATAATCAAGAAATATACTTATAAAACATCATGTGGCCCGCTTCAAACCATGCAACTTTTTGTCTGAAACATTTTTTCATCCGATCACTTCCCTAATTTTTAAATGGGTGATACGGGCGCTCTGTTACACCCTGTATAAGACAATATGTTGCCTTTTGTCACGTCCTAATCTGTCTTCATTGATCGTTTGGTAGTTGGAGGCAACTGCACTTTTCTTGCAGATTCTAGAAATGCTACAATAAAGAAAAAAATGATTTATATTAATTTGCGCGTGCGTGAAGCGTAATAATAATATTAACAATACTAATAATAATAATAAAGCATAACAAACATATATTCAACTTTAACTTATATGTGATCTAATAGTAATATAATATAATAACAAGGTACACACACAAGATATGAATGCATAAATACTTACTACAGTATTTTATGACGTCAACCTCATTGGTTCCAAGTATCGAAATTTGGACTTGTGTAGTTGGCTATTAAGAATTCAGCATTTGTTGTCCGTGATAGCCAATAAACAGCTGCTTATTGCCATCGTGCATAAGCCACGATGTTGGTATTTCTGAATATAAATTGTCTATACGAAATTTGACAACGACATATTTTTTATTTTCTACAGTTTTGTGACAATCTATTATCCTTCCATATAATCTATAAAAACAATATGTTAGTATGTGTAAATTAATTCACAAATTAAAATATGTATATCTAATAACATCAACTATCATATTCATTCGAATCAAAGGCATTGATTTAACATAAAGAAAATTATATAGTTTTAATGTAAAAATTTATTACGATTAATGTCAGTGTAATATAAGTTTTCTTTTTATATTAATAAGTAAAAAAAGGAAAAGTAAATTTTTTGTTAAAAGATAAATCTTTTATATGTTAATAGTTATCGGTCAATCAAAATTATAATTTTGCAATTTTGCTTATAATTGCATGAGATTTAAATACACAAAATATTGCAAAATTAAAAAAATAAATATTGATATGACATATTTGTAAATGTATTTGACTCAGTTTACAAATGTTTGTTTAATTTAATATGGATAAAATTTGCATGTTTCCAAGTATAGAAGTTAGCAAATATTTTTTACTTCCCATAGAGCACAGATAATTGCAGTTGTGTTGCAATATGTTGCAATAAATTACATTATTCACAATCTATTTTTAGGATTGTTTACCAGTAAAGCACATAAAAATACATTTATAAAAATGTATAGCATCTAATTATTAGTATGAAGAAGCGGTATTGTAATATAAGAATCAGCCTGATTCATATATTTCAATATTAAATTATTATTTTTATTCCAGTGAGTGGAACTATTATAGTTTCTGAAGCAGTTGTGCTTAAAATTATAAATATACCCAGTTTTTCCGAAGCACATAGCACAATAAAAGAGATTCTGGATTTTAAAAACGTTTTGCACAAAAAAATAATGTAGTTTCTTCTTCAATCACATCCAAAATAAAAACTACAGAATTAGCATTAAACAAAGAACACTTATCATTTTCAGTTATTGCAATATTGAAGTTTTCATATTAAAAACTTGAAATTTTTTTATTATTTGTATAAATAACAATTGGATAATGTACGATGGGGTACTGTATAATGGGTTGTTGTAATTCTTCAAATATGCGATTTGATAATTCTTCTAAAGGCTTTCCACATTGATGCAATTTTTTTTATCTTTTGCATATTATTTTCGTATTTAAAGCAACTAAAATTGTCAAGACAACCAAATTTTTACATCATTAGCAATATGAAGAAGATTGTGGATCTTATGTGACAGATATTCTTCACCGTAAATAGTCCCGTAGTTGGTTACAAACCATAATAATAATGAATGTGCATAATCAAGAAATGTCGTACATATTTGCGGATCAGTCATTATTCTCAGACAGCACAAGACATCCTCAGGATCATCCTGAATATGTCCAGGACGGTTCAGGACATTTGTAGGACGTTTTAAGATATCATTATAAATATATTTTATGAAAATTTAATACGCATACATGATTACTTTCAGTTATGTAGGCTATTTAATATAATTTAGAATTCTTAAGTATTATAATAAGTATTAATGTCCTATAAATGTCCATTGGATGACCCCTGGATGTCTATAGGATATCTGTCCTGTCAATTATATTAGATGTCCTTTGGTTTCCATAGGACATACATGTGTTATCTGGCAATTAATTGTTAACATTAATTTCGTTTAATATTAATAATTGAATTTGATGCGCACGTTTTCATATACTTATTGCAACATTAAGGGAAAGAAAGTGATTATACCAAATCGGAGGTATGGTTGACTTTAAAATTACTATTCCAATATACAACAAAAATTGGCACAATTCCGTAGCTTTCCTTTTATCAATATCAACTGAAGTTCTAGGCTTCCTTGTAAATTCAGATCAAATGCAATGTTTAATATCCATTAAATGTTGCTGTTTTACTTTGGTTTAATGAGGGATACGTTTCCTTGATTTCTTTGCTTTTATTTCTTATCACAAACTTTTACAATCTCTCCTTAGCTACGCTTCTCTCGCCATGTTAGAATATTACTACTCCTCCCTTCCTCAGCGGCCAAAATCGGTGTCGCACAGAGCTCAATAGCTGCTCTGGAGGGCAATAATGCGGGCGCACGTGCTCTTCTTGCATTATTAAATTGGTAATAAAATGTTTTGGTAGTAACACAATAGGATGTTTTTGACACTCGGATATTGTCGCATTTCGGAGGCGTCCGCCTACCCGAATCAATCCGTCCTCATCCAAATACGAATCTAACGCTCGTAGTTTACTCTTTCGATTTATCTCGCGACCGTTCTGCAATTTGCGGAGATCTTTCTCGTTGTACCATTCGGGATATTGCTTTTTCGGCTTCTTCGAGCTCTTCCACTGATAATGTATGATTTTTTATTGTTTTCAATTTTCTTCTCTTCCATTGTAGGCAGAATGTGAGAACTCTAACAAGTTTTCTGTATGTAGAAAACCTTTCAAGAAAGTTATCTACCGTATTTACCATCAAAGTCACTGATGTAGGTTTCAATTCTGGTAGAACAATCTCTGGTTCCTCCATGTTTGCTAGCCACGGATTCTCGCTCGTTATCCAACGCGGTCCGTTCCACCATAGGTTATCCTCGATCAATCGTTCGATTGTTACGCCCCGAGACAACATATCCGCCGGGTTATCTTCTGAGGACACGTGATGCCATGAAGCCCTCCTTTTTAATGCTTGAATTTTCGTAATTCGATTAGCGATGAATGTTTTAAGCATATTTGGTTGAATCTTCAACCATCCTAGAACAATCGTGTTGTCACTCCATAATCTTACGTCTCTGATACGATTGCCTTATGCGCTCTTTGCTATGATATATAGTTTAACTAAAAGAAGTGCTGCTTCGAGCTCTAATCGAGGTATCGAAATAGTTTTCAATGGCGTCACCTTGAACTTGGCACATATAAGGTAAGTATGCACTCCTTTATCGTTGGTACTCACTGCGTACAAACAGGCTCTATAAGCCCTCTCTGATGCGTCTCCGAATCCAAAAATAGCGAATTCTTCCGATTAGTTGTGCGGTACTACGTTCCTCGGTATTTGTAGTTCGTTTATTCTTGGTAGAGAGGCATAATATCGCTCCCAGGCTTCGAGTGTTTTTTGAGGAAGAGGTTGATCCCATTCAATCTCTAGTATCCACAGTCGCTGCATAATAATTTTTCCATTTATTAGTAACGGTGCGATCAATCCGAGCGGATCAAATACTTGCGCAATTTTGGACAGTACGAGGCGCTTAGTAACCGTACTTAACTGTGAAAGCTCTATTTGATATTGCAGACTATCATCTGCTGAGTTTCATAGTAACCCCAGAGTTTTTAGGGCATCTTTTTTATCCAAAGTTAGCAAGCCGTCGGTTTTACCTTTCTCATTGAGATGTTGCAGGATTTTCGAATCATTTGCTCTCCATTTCCTAAGAAAAAACTGTCTTCGTTTGAGTAGTTCAGTCAACTGTTTCTGAAGATTTACAGCCTCGTTGATTGTCCTTGCTCCTGTCAATATATCGTCCATGTAGCAGTCTTCATTCACTGCTCTCGCAGCTTGTGGTAAATCAACTCCTTTCACAGCCAATTCCTTCAGACACCGCATCGCCAGATAGGGAGCGCACGATATCCCGTAGGTTACTGTGTTAAGCTCAAACATCTGAATTTTATGATTAGGATCTCTTCTCCATAATATTAGCTGTAATGAGCGATCTCGTGGATCCACCGTGATTTGTCGATACATCATCGCTACGTCTGCCGTAACTACATATTCATGAATCCTGAAACGCAAAACAATATCAATTAATTCTTTTTGCAAATTCAGCCCTGGAATAAGCTTGTCATTCAGAGACCACACGCAATTTCGTAGTCATGCTATCCGGTCGTATTGCGGCTTGGTGTGGAAGTACGTAAAATTCTGAGTCTTGATTCTAATTTTCCTTGACGAACATACGATTTTGTTCGATGTAGTCGTCCATAAATTTGACATATTCTCGTTGAAGTGTTGGATTCTTCGCGAATCTTCGTTCTAAAGATAATAGTCGTCTGGTTGCTTGCTCTTTGGAGTCTCCGAGATTAATTTGCTGACGCCTTGGCAATCGTACGATGAATCGTCCCTCATTATCTCTTTGGAGTGTTTCCAAGAAATATTGTTTACAGTATTTTTGTTCGCCTGTGTATTCTGGGGTTTCTGGGAGCTCTCCCTGTTTCCAAAGTCTTTCGATTTGTTGATTCAGTACATCATTTGTTACTGATAGATGTGTCAATGACGATTTCGGTTGTATTCCCGACATTTATTCATCCTAACTGAGTATTTTGTAGAGAGGGTTGCCCTTCGATACGATTCCTCGGTATACCAATGAAAATTCTCCAATACAGTCCAGCTCCAATCAACATGTCGATAGCACCAGGCTTGTCAAACACTGGATCGGCCATGCGCATGTCTTTCGATATAATTATCCGCGTCACATCGATTTTGCTCTGTGGTAGTGCCTCAGTAATAGACGGTAATACCAAACACTCGATAGTTGCCGAGAATCCCTTATATATCGATTCAATCCGCACTTCCGTTACTTTCTTCGTACTGCTTCTTGCTTTATTTATGCACTAATGGCTCGCTGCTCCTTTTTGCTTGGTAGTCCTAGTTTTTGTAAAACGTTCTGTTATTATGTTCGATTGTGAGCCAGGATTCAAGAGTACCCGACATAGGTGAACATTTCCCTCGATGTTATACGCGTTCATTTTTGCTGTAGATAATATGACGCTCGATGCCGTTCCTGTTCACCAATCTCTCATTCTGATCGATGCTCGTCAAGGATTGCGTATTTTCCATATATCGTTCTCGTTTACAATACGTGACGATCGCTGTAGCGTTTGATGCATTTGCGTCTTGCACTTGTGATTCTGTATCCCTATGCAGCAAAGTGTTGTGACGTTTTGAACATTTCTTGCACGATGACGCCTTGCACTCTTTGGCATAATGTCCTGATTCTAGACAATTAAGACATAAATGTTTACTAATGATTTCCTTTTTCCGGATTTCCGGGTTTATCTTCTGCAGTTTTTCGCATCTATAGATAGAATGACTTCCTTTGCAAAACTTGCATTCCGACGAGGTTAAAAAGATCTTCTTATCCGGTTTCTTTTGGCTAGTTGTTTTAGAAGTAGGTTGTTTCGTTTTTCCTTGATTTAAAACCCGAAGTGTATTACAGCGATCCGTAAGAAATTTTAAAAATTCTTCCATAGTCGGCATGTTTCCCGGCGTCCTATTGTTTATCGTATTTTGCCAGTCCCGCTGTTTCCCAAAATCAAGCTTTTTCCTCGCCAAATGAATTATCATCGTCTCCCAATGATCCACTGGTTACGAGAGTGATTTCAGAGATGACATGTGAGTGCGAATATGCCAAACAAACTGCCTTATCCCATCCGCTTTGTCCTCCGTGGAGATCGTGGGAAACTGTAACAATTCATCGAGATGCGTTTCAATAATAACTATTTTATTGTCGTACGTATCTTTTAACAATTTCCGCGCATCTGCATAGTTCTCATTCGAAATCTGACATCCTTGAATAACGTTCAGAGCTTCTCCTCGAAGAACACCTACTAAATATGCTTTTGCATCGGCGTCAGCCTTTCGTCTTGATCAATTGTTGTTTCAAAACTGTTTTTGAAAAACAACCATTTTGTATATTCACCGTTGAATTCCGGTAGTTTTATCTCCGGTAACTTCGGTCTACTTCTCGGTGCTTCGTAGACTCTTTGCTGATTATAATTTTCTCTTACCTCAATCTGTCGGTTCTGCTCTTGTTGGTTATTTGTTACCGCGTCAATTTTCTCTGCGACCTTGTAATAATTTTCTTCAAATAATTGTCTCTCCGCCTCATCCTCTTGTTGCTGCTGGTCATATTCTTTGTCATTTTCAGTTGGTCTCGACTCTATCTCCGATTGTATCTCTTCGAATTTCTTCCAACATTCTTCGAGCTTCGCTTGTCGAACCCGCGCTTCTACTACGGTTTTTTGTCCCTCTAATCCAAAAAAATTTTGCAACCGAGTAATTTGACTTTTAATCGCAGCACGCTTGTATTTCAATTCTCTAAGCTCTGCCATTTTGTTTGATTTTAAGAATTGGAATATCGTAGCGTAAGGAAATTAATTGTAGCGTCTCACTTACTCAATTTTCCGTTGACTCCAAGAGAGCGACGCTCATACGTTGTTACTGCGTGTGAGATAGACGCCCTGCGTTTTCGCGCGCGTCTAATCCAAGAAAGCGACGCTTGTACTACGTGCTGTAAGTATAAGAGAGACGCTCTGTGTCTTTGTTTTACCTAAGAGAGCGACGCTTTTATGCCGTTGTCGAAAATGTGAGAGGGAGGCCCTGCGTCTTCGTCACATCCGTATTTTCCTTGTTCAATGCGTTCGAGATGTTAGCAGAACTTCTCGTTACGCTTGCACACTTTCTTGCGCACGATTATTCCTTACACATCCTTGTCTTTTCCCGTGCAAACTATGTTACTCAGTTCGTCAGAATTCGTGCTTCTTGTTGGGCGCCAATGTTTTACTTTGGTTTAATGAGGGATACGTTTCCTTGATTTCTTTGCTTTTATTTCTTATCACAAACTCTTACAATCTCTCCTTAGCTACGCTTCTCTCGCCATATTAGAATATTACTACTCCTCCCTTCCTCGCGGTGCGCTACCGTCGACCTCATCCTTCTATTCCCGTTCGGCCGGTAAGTAATCGGTTCGAATCGTTGCTATCCGGAACAGTTGCAAAATTAAAATGTTTTCTGCACTTAATTTATTATTTTTATTTCCTTTGATCCATAATTGTAACAACCATTTCATAACATCCAAGTAAACAAGGTGCATATAATCGAGCGGAATTTGTAAAACAATCCCGATGAAAAGCTTTTCCAAGATAGAATCGTCTGTGTGATATTCAATTTGAGTTTGACTTTTGAACAAATCATTTATATGTAAGTTATTAGTTATTAGTTTCAGGAAAAGTTACTCTATTGCATACGAAGCCGCCTTCTTGTACACATTTAGAACACAAGAAATATCCTGTATGACATTTGACATATGACATATGACATTTTGAATGATTTAGATGAGAATGAGAATTAAGAGAAAATTAAAATGCATTTTAGTTTTATTAAAAAATTACACTATTATGTTCCAAATAAATATTTTGTATAATATATAAAACGGCACTATTATATTGCGGATTTTATTACAAATAGTCAATCATAAAATTACTTAACTTTTACTGTAATAACGTCGATTACATTGATCACCAATTTTGAATTTAAAAGTTCCCCGTGCTAAACTGATCGACTTGTTTTGAAATTAATCATAAACTTTACCAGATAGGCCCGGAACAAAAAGGATTAAGATTAAGGTAATTGTTTCGAATAAGGCCTTTTCTGAATTTTGAGAAATATGATCGGATCTCTCGGTAAAACTCTTTGTTGTGACCCCAACAGTGATAATCAGTCGGGGGAGCCCGACCCCCATCACCCACTCCCCCCAAAAAACGAAAAATCCCAAAAATTACCCAAAATTAGATAATTACCTATTTCTGATTTAAAACAAAAATTTGGTTTGGGTTAGGTTATATCATCCAGAAGTGGAGCCCCCTCGTAGGGAGGGGCGGAACCCACCGCATCCACGCATACACTTTCTCATTCACACAACAATTGTGGGGTGGACCTCGTTTTGCTTTGTAAAATATATGCGTGGACACAGTGGGTTCCACCCCCCCCCTACAGGGGGGCCCACTTCCGGAAGATATAACCTAACCCAAACCAAATTTTAGTTTTAAATCAGGAATAGGTTTGGGTTAGGTTATATCTTCCGTAAGTAAGGAACTTCCCTGTAGGGGGGGGGGGCGGAACCCACTCTGTCCACGCATATACTTTACAAAGCAAAGCGAGGTCCACCCCAAAATTGTTGTGTGGATGGAAAAGTGTATGCGCAGACGCAATGGGTTCCGCTCCCCTCCCCCCCGTAGGGTTGGCTTCACTTCCGGAAGATATAACCTAACCCAAACCTATTGCTGATTTAAAACTAAAATTTAGTTTGGTTGTGGAGTGGACTTTATAGTACATAATTACCTAATTTTCGGTAATTTTGCGGGTTTTTCGTTTTTTGGGGGGTGGGGGTGATGGGGATCGGGCTCCCCCGACTGATTATCACTGGGGGAGTAATGGGGGTCGGGCTCCCCCGATTGATTATCACTGTTGGGGTCACAACAAAGAGTTTTGCCGAGAGATCCGATCATATTTTTCAAAATTCAGAAAAGGCCTTATTCGAAACAATTACCAAGATTAAAGTGACAAACAAAAACTTGGCGTGCCCGGGTCGCATTATAAATCATATATTTTTATTAATATATTGATAATGATTCCTGATAATTTTTTGCAAATTTTTATTTCAGATTGGGCACGCCAAGCATTTGTATGTCACTTTAATCTTAATCCTTTTCGTTTCGGGCCTATCTGGTAAAATTTATTATTAATTTCAAAGCAAGTCGATCAGTTTGGCACGGGGCACTTTTAAATTCAAAATTGGTGATCAATGTAATCGACGTTATTACAGTAAGGGTTAAGTAATGTTGGTATGAATGTTTTATGTACAATCCGCGCTTCTTTTATTGGTGGCGCTGCTATCCTTCCTTACCGAGGTTCGTTAACTGACATACTCGCGACATCATGTTTTTGTACTCTCGTATCCGTAAATCAGTAACTGTGTTCTATTAACTAATAAATATCATCTATCAAGGCTAAAGAGTCACGCAGTATTTCCTTAAATAATCCTAACAAGTAATTTTATGATTTACTATTTAAGTAATAAAATCCGCAATATGGGTGTCCCATTTTAATGTCCCACCCCAAATAACTTTTTTATTTTTGATTGTAGAAAAAAATGTTTCAGACAAAAGTTGTATGGTTTCGAGGGGTCCACATGATAAAAATATGGACTTGACCTTGAGTGACCTTCTCAAGGTGAGGTCAATGTAATCAATGTTTTCTTGAATGGAACTCCCCATTTTTTATTGCATATTCTTGTAGCTTATCTCGAGAGCTTTTCAACACACAGTGTGTAATAAAGTATTTTTTTATTAAGTACTTTTTGAGTTATTTTATATCTTAATCTGACATATTTTAATATAAAAAATAAAATATCTCATAAAATATTTAGTTTTCGATAACCTTACCGTAATACTTTTATATATAGGATAATAAGACAAATTTAAGAAAACATCCATTTAAGAAAACATCGATCACATTGATCTCACTTTGAAAAGGTCATTCAAGGTCAAGTCCATATTTTTATCATGTGGCCCCCTCGAAACCATACAACTTTTGTCTGAAACATTTTTTTCTACAATCAAAAATAAAAAAGTTATTTGGGGTGGGACATTAAAATGGGACACCCTGTATAATAGTGCCATTTTTTATATTATACAAAATATTTATTTGGAACATAATAGTGTAATTTTTTAATAAAAATAAAAAGCATTTTAATTTTCTCGAAAGAATCCATAATATATCTATAAAGACAAGATTGATTTTATGACAAATACTATTTCAAATTACAAATCCTCATAAACTGAATTGCTTCTAAGTACTTGTCTAGTTAACTAATGATTTCATATTTAGTTTTGATTTTTGAGTTTTCAATTTTTGATTTTTTAGGGGAAAATTTTTTAAATAATTTTTTAGAGCTAAATATTTTTTTAAAGTTTTTGTTGCGCACAAAGGATATTTTTTATGTACTTGACATACTTTTTTTACCTCTGTAATGTTTTTTTAGTAGAATATCACTACTTTCTGTAAATAATAAATACAAAGTATTACATTATACAGTATACGTATACATGGATATGTTTTTTTTTAAGATTTATTCAATAGGAGGGAAATTCTTTTTTAGAAGGAATCATACACGTATAAATAGTATATAGGGTGAGGAAAAAGTATGGAAACACTGAAAAATTTCGAAAAATGTAAGTTTTACAGAAAATTGTTTCGAATAAAAGTTGGGTTTAAAAAGATCTATTTACTGATCTTATCAGTTTAAGTTTGAATGGCGTCGCCAAGGTCAGGACAAGATCACCTTGAATTTTTTAAATGGAAATCCCTATTTTTTATTACATATTCTTGTAGCCCTTGTCGAGCTTTTCAAAAAATTATAATAAAGTATTTTTTCATTAAGTATTTTTCGAGTTATTTCATATCTTAATTTGACATTTTGATATAAAAAATAAAATATCTCGTAAAATATTTAGTTTTTTATAATCTTACTGTAATAAATTTATATACAGAATAATGAGACAAAT